AAGCTGCCTCTCACAGCCAGAGCTCCCTGCAGGATGAGGGGTAGGGGAGAGGGTGCAAATGGATCCCTGAACAAGCCAGCCTGAGAGAGCTGTGAGCTTGACACAGCAGCAGTGCCCAGAGATCATGGCAGAAAGCAGAGAAGTGGGGATGGCAGAAAACTGGAAACGGCAGAGAAGCAACAGTTGATTACCAGCTGCAGTTGCAACATCCTCCAACCTAGAGAGCACCTCCTCCCATATTCTCCAAGACTGAACAATGAGGAATCTGAGTAAATGCTACTGAAACTGTCGCTAACACTGATAGGGACTGAGACTGAGGGTTGCGAGCGTGATTGAATATTTATAAGGAAAAAAAGAGGCATCATTAAGACTTTATATAAAGCAGGGATCCAAGAGGCTTAGACGCCACCTACTGGAAACCAAAAGAAAAATGGCTGCTTAGCAAAAGGCTAAAGAGAGACCTTTATATAATAAATCTGTTTTCTGGGGGGAAAAAAAAAAAGCTTTTGTGTATAGTGTAAGACAGTGGTCTAGTTTCATTCTTTTTCATGTCTACTTTTTCCCAACACTATTTTTTGAAGAGACTTTCCTTTTTACATTGTAAAGAATTGTAAAGAATACGCTTCTATTAATACCCAGGTGAAGACATAGTCCATTAAACACCATGAACAACCAAAGCGACAAGACGGCTCAGAAAGATAGAGAAAAATCTCCAGAAAATAAGTTTAAAGATATAGAAATATGAGACTTAAAAGACAGAGAATTCAGGATTGTACTTCTGAAAAAAACTCAATGAGATCTAAAATAATTCATATCAACAATTCCAATAATTGAGAAAAAAAAACTAGATCAGCACAATGAGCTTTTAGCCAAGAGATTGAAACTCTTAAAAAGAACCAAATAGAACTTCTGGAGATGAAGAACACACTGAAAGAGAGGAAGAATGAAACAGGCAAGCTTCGGGAATAGAGTCAACCAAATGGAGAAAAGGATCAGTGATATCGAAGACAAAAATCTATAAATAAATCAGAAGGAAGAAGAGAGAAACTGAAGAATAGGAGGGGGAAAAAAAAGCCCAAAGAGTAATACAAGAACTAGCTGATACCATCAAGAAAGGAAACATAAAAATAATGGGCATTAGAATGAAGGGGAGAAAAAAACAGCAGAGATTAGAAAGCATTTTCAGACAAATAATTGATGAGAATTTCCCAAATCTAAAGAATGAGCTGGAGCTTGGAATTCAAGAAGTCAACAGAATACCCAATTATCTCAAGCCAAAAAGGCCTTCACCAAGAACCATTGTATTAAAATTATAAAAAATTAATGACAAAGAACTCTCAGAGCAGCCAGGGAAAAGACGACGGTGACCTATAAAGGAAAACCCATTAGATTATCGTCGGACTTCTCAGCACAAACCTTATAAACCAGAAAGGACTGGAATCAAATATTCAAACTAGTAAGTGAAAGGAAATACCAGCCAAGAATAATGTATCCAGCTAAGCTCTCCTTTAGATATGAAGAAGAAATAAAGACTTTTCCAGACATACAAAAATTGAGAGGCCTGCATTACAGGAAATACTGAAAGGGGTCAGCTCACCTAAAACAAAATGACAAAAAAATACATAACTATGAGTATGGCAAATAGCATGTAGATAGAAGCAGAGCAGTCCAACTCTAATTAAGAACAGGGCATTATAAGTTTAAACAACGAGAAGAAATTTACTATTGCAAGATAGTAATAAACATTCAGCATACATAGGGACAAATTGAGACAACAATGACAGAAAAGGGGAGGATTCAAAGATCCAAATTCACAAAGGGGAATGGCGATAAGGCACATGTAGAAGAAAAAGCACTACTATACATATAACTATCCTTTACATATTCATAATGGTAACCACACACCAAAGATTCAGAACTGAAGTATATAACATAAAACAAAAAGAATCAGAGGGGAAACCCACACACACAAAAAAACAACCAAAATAAAGAAAACATAAACTCAAGGACCAGGAAGCAATGGAAACACTGAGCTACCAGAAGGCAAAAGAAAAAATGGCTATAAGAAGACCTCATATTTCAATCATCACCCTAAATGTAAATGGACTGAACTCACCAATAAAAAGACAGAGTTGCAGAATGGATCAAAAAACAAAACCCAACCATATGCTGCCTCCAGGAGACACATCTCAGTTCCAAAGACAAATATAGATTCAAAGTGAAAAGGTGGAAAATGATATTTCAAGGAAATGGCATTCAGAGAAAAGCGGGAGTAGTGGTACTAATATCAGATTAAATAGGCTTCAAAATGAAAAAGGTAAAGACACTGAAGGACACTTCATAATGATAAAGGGAATCATACACCAAGATGACATAACACTTATTAATATCTACGCCCACAATCAAGGAGCCCCAAAATATATAAAGCAATTACTAACAGAACTAAAGAGAGAAACAGACCAAAACATTATCATAGTAGGGGACCTAAATACCCCACTGTTGAATATGGACAAATCATCTAAACAGAAAATCAATAAAGAAATAAAATAGACGTTTAACCCCAGGAAGCTCAGAGAGTCCCAAAAAAGGTGAACCCAAAGAGGCCCACACCAAGATACATCGTAATTGAAATGCTAAGGATTAAATTCAAAGAGAGAATCTTAAAAGCAGCAAGAGAAAAGCAGTTAGTTATCTACAAGGGAGCACCCATAAGACTGGCAGTCAATTTTTCAAAAGAAATTTGCAGGACACAAGGGTTTGGCACAAAATATTCAAAGCGATGAAAAGCCAGGACCTACAACGAAGAATACTTTATTCAGCAAAGCTATCATTCAGCATTGAAGGACAAAGCGCTTCTCAGATGAAAATTCGCTAAAGAAATTCATCAACTCCAAGCCAGTATTATAGGAAATGTTGGAGGGACTTCTTTAAGAAGAAAAAGACATGTATCAAAAACATGAATGAATGGTAATAACTACATATATATCAACAAATACCTCAAATAGAGAAGAATCAAGTGCACCAATGAAAAGATAAGGTGGCGAAATGGATATGAGAACAAGACCCCTAAATATGCTGCCTATGAGAGACTCACTTCCAGTTAAAAGACACACTGAGACTAAAAGGGAAGGGATGGAGAAATATATTGCCTGAGGATATTGCGCTGAATGAAGTTCAATAAAGAAATATAGAATGATTTCACATACATGTGGAATCTAAAGAACAACATAAACAACAAAAATGGAAACATTCATAGACAGAGAATATTTTGAGGGCTACTAGATGGGAGGAGGGGTTAGGGGATGGTGAAAATGGCCAAGGGATTAAGTACAAATGGATAGATACAAAATAGTCATGGAGATACAGTGTAGCATAAGGAAAGTAGTCAACGATGTTTTGAAAAACATGTAAGGGGGAAGGGGGAAACTTGATTTATTGGTGTGACCCTTAATGAGTTACATAGATCTCTAATCACTACACTGTACAAACTGAAATAACTTATTGTATGCCAACCCTAACTGAAAAACTCATTGTACAATGTAAATATGAGCAATTGCCTATTATATTTCAATAAAGCTGGGGAAAAAAATTTGCCAAACTATTTCTCAAAGTGTTTGTGTCATTTTATATCCCTACTTGCTATGTATGAGTTCCAGTTGCTCCACATCTTCCAACACATGATACTGCCAATCATTTTAATAGTCATTTTAATGAGTGTATAGGGGTGTCTCATTGTAATTTTCATTTGTATTTCCATGATGGCCAAAGTAGAAAATCTATCTTGTCCTTATTAGCCATTTCATTATCTTCTTTCATTGACTGTTGCCATTTTAATTGGGTTATTCGCCTTCTTACAATTGGGTTGTAAATTTCTTTATATTTTCAGAATATAAATCTTTTGTCATGTATCTACTGCAAATATTCTCTTCCATTCTTTTTTATTTTAACAGTGCCTTTCAAAGGACAAGAGTTTTTAATTTTGAAAAGTCAATTTTATTTTTTTCTTTTATTCGCCATCATTCATGTGTCCTATCTAGGAAGTCTTCTCCTCTGGTCTTGGTACATTTTAAATAGTTACTCTGTAACAATATTTACAATTTCTTTTATGGTTATCACTTTTTTGTTTTTTATTTTTCAATTTTCATCAATTATGTCTTGCTATGAAATCATTCATTTACTCTAGATAGTATTCTGTTCTGATCCTATTAACTGATCCAGTATCTGTGGATTCTTTTTACTCATTATAAATCTTGTGTCATTTTTCTATCTCTCTACCTTACTTAGGTTTGTGTGGAGTATGTAGTTTACGAGTTTTAAAAAATGAATCTTCCCTATTTATTTTAATCAAAAAAATGAATTATTTTGTAATTCATAATAAATTTAGGCATATTTTCAGGTGCAAGAGAAACCTAGAATAGAATGTTTTTTTGCAATACATGTTTATTCACATCACATAGCTTAAGTCTAAAGGGAACATGCTTTCAGTGTTGATTAAATTGTCAGGACCAGTGTCTGTAGTTCTTTTGGCCTTCCAATTATTGTTGAGAAAAGGTTCCCATTGCCCAGCCATCATGTACAAGGCATAGAGAAGGGTAAATTGATGGCAGCAGCTTCATCTGTTCCTTTTCTTAGGATATCAAAAGTTTTCCTCCCAGAACACATCTATCAGTATTTTGCTTCTATTGGTCCAAATCACATCACCTGGCCACTACCAGCTTCAAAAGATGCTAATAAAGTGAATAAGCAGTGAGAGAAGAGTATCTGACATACTCAGGAAACTGAGAGTGTCTACAACTGTAAAACTGGTATTCATGTCCAAGAAAAAACTGAATCATTCTCCCAAAAAGTATATAAAATATACCCCCCCCAAAAAAACACTTAAAATTTTATTCATGCAGTTTAACTAAAACTAGAAATTTAGAAACTGTAAAAGAACAGATGGACATATTTAAACATGCGAAAAATAAAATTATTCTGATGGAAAAATTTCATCTACAAAATCAAGAGACAAGCAAGATTTTATTTTTAAAGAGTTACTACCTTTAACATACAATAAACTGTTATGAATAGATAAGAAAAACAATCCAAAGAGGAAAAAAATATGAATAAATGGTTTATAAAGGCAACTTACAGAATAGCATATTAAATGGCAAGAAACATTTAAACAGGCATATTAATATGTAAATTAAAACTAATTATTGCTTTGAAATCATAACACTTCTCAAAGTTAAAGAGTAATAGCTACTTTTAGTAGAGGAAAGGGAGTACATTATACATTGTTGGAAATACAAAAGACTAGTCTTATTCCAAAGAAGTCTGACAACTATGAAAGTAAGAAAACACAATTCAATTTCACTGCCAGAAGTGTCACAGAAATTTTAAAAAAGATCTCCAGTAGGTAAGGGCATGATTATGCCTGTCCACTAACCCTTTATGCTATGTCCCCTCTTGAGGATGATTATCAGAACATTTTTTCTGGCCTCTTCAGCTAGTTAAACATTATCGTTGGGTGCAAAAAATGCAAAAATGTGTATAGTATAATCTCATTTCAAGTCAATGAAAACACACACCTACATGTGTATGTGACTTTGAGTAAAAAAAAAAAAAAAGTGAACTTGATCAGCATTGCTTAGCTGTTGACAAACTGTTGTGACTGGAATTGCTATCAGTAAAGAAAGTACAAAATTAAATAAAATTATAGAAGTTACATTTACACCATTTTATGTGTGCACAAGCATTTGTACGTGTGTTTAAATATGTATTTTTCAGTTAAAATATGGAATTTGCTTCTATAGGAAGTCTTTTTCCAATTGTATCAAATTTACAGTTACCCCCAATATGAATTTTATGGCACTTTAACAAAAATTCTTAGAAGACTTATTTTTCTTAATTATTTATCTGATGTCTAGTAAGGTGTAACTCATGGACAAAAACTTTTGACATGCAATATATAATACGCAATATACAATAATCATAGGGTTTCTCTGTAATTCAAATAATTTATGATTGGTTCTGACTTGTGTGAGACTTTCTCACTTTCAGGAAATATATAATTTCATTCACTTATAAATACTGAAATTTGATTTCTGAATGAAATTATTCCCAAAGTGCATACAGAAAATTTCCTCCTAGGACATTTTCTAATAACTTCTCGTCACAGCTTTTATAGGTTTTTATCTCAAAAATGAGTTTTTAGTGTATAATGAGATTTGACCTGTTATTTCTCATGTGTGAATTTGCTGATGTTCAAGGAGTTGACTTTTCAGTGGATGATTTTGTTGTCATTGTATTCATAAGGTCACTTGCCAGCATGAATTCTCTATGTAATAAAGTATAATTTGTGAATGAAGATAGAAAATCACTTTCCTCTATGAATGATCTGATGTATAATCGTTTGAGTGAAAGTTTTCTTACATTTACTGAATTCATTTTCCAAAAATTAATTTAAAGTGCATTTTTAATTTAAAAATTTAGGTTGTAAAACTTTTTAAATAGTTTTTCTGTGTATACAAATGAACTGTGTTATACTGCTGCCATACTACTTTTCCTAGTAAAGTTTATAGCTCACATGCATCCAATGTATACTGACCCTGGAGTTCAACTTAAGATTTAGCTCTCCTATTCCATTCATGATGGATAATTTTCCATCATCCATTTTTCAATCAATTCCCAAGTGCCCCTGGAGATCCATGGAAAAAAAAAGAAAGTCTTCCTTTCTCCTAAAGATTAAAACTTGACGAAAGTTTTTTCTTTTTTTTTGACTTGGTAATACAGAATTGTATTTTTTGTTTTATTTTAAATAGAAAGGTTGAGAATCATTACCTCTGTTATCCTACTAAAATAATCTTTGAAATTCTTATTTTCAAATCCCTGGGCTCTTAGACCAATCTTCATTTACTTAATTTTCCATTCCAAAGGGGAAAAAACATACTAAAAACTATAGATATCTTAAAAGATCTTAGTTTCCTCCTTTTGCTAAAACTTGGCAGCTACCATAGTAAAATTTAACACCACCAGAAGTAATTTTCTCTTATGTATCAAAGTTTATAAAGTCTTTAACGAAGAGTAAATACTTTATCTTTTAGCAACAAAAATTAGGAATAAAGTAATGCTGCAAATCACAGCATTTTTATTTTTAAGTTAGTCTGGAAAGTTTGAGTACTTTAAAAAAATATATTTCTGGACTCCACACTCCTTAAATAGGAACAGCTATCACAGAAAATTGAAAACTTTTGCTAATGGCACAGTAGACAGTACAGACCAGTACTCCCTTAGAGAATTAAAAAAAAAAAGGTAGAAAAAAATATTAGCTACATTTAATTTTGTAGTGGCATTGGAGAGGTACGAAGAAAGTTAAAAACTGCAGGAATAAGTTTAGAAACAAGACATAACCTCTGGAATTTGTAACTATTTACTACAAAGAAGTGTTTATTAATTCTTAAGGAACATACTGGGCAAGAGAAGCTTTAAAGTTTTTGACAAATTTATAGGACTAAAGGGACAAATACTAGGATTGAGGTCTTTCCAAGAAGGAGACGCCTGTTAAATCTCCCAAAGTCCTAAATCTTAAGGGTATCCCCTAGGAAAAAGAGTGAAAAAAAAAAATAGACAAGTCTTCACATTTTCAAATAATCTTAGCACATGATTGGATGAAGGCAATCTGGGACTGCTAGTGTTCCTAGCTGAGTCACATGTCATAAACAAAGGCAAAGCCTCTCAGGAAGATGATATCATCCAGACCATCTAATTATCTCTACAATTATTAATATATAATGAGTGTCTGGTAATTAATTCAAATTCACTAGGTTTATGAGAAGGCATGACATCACCAAAACTCAAGAGAAACGACAACCAATAGATAAAGGTCAACAGGGGATCTAGATAATGGGGCCATGTCTAGAAGAAGTAGAAGATAACAAAGCACATGCCTAATTTGAATAAATAATAGCTAAGAATTTCCCAAAACATACAAAAAAATATCCCCACTGAATAAAAAATATGTTGCAAACCCCGAGCGGAATACACACACGAAAATCACACGTAAGCATATCGCTGTGCAATTGTTGACAGCCTAAAACAAAGACATAAATTTTAAAGTGAAAAAGAGAAAGCACATTACCTTCAAAGGTAGTTAGATTGAAAGCTTACTTTTCAACAAAGACAAACCACGACAAAATATCTTCAAAATACTGATAGAAAATAACTGCCAACTTAGAATTCAATACTCAAAAATATGTCCTTCAAAAATGAAGGCAAAATAAAGACATTTTTCCATGAACAAAAACAGAATTTGTCACTACCAAATACACACTAAAAGAAATACGAAAGGATGTTTTTCAGTCAGAAGAAAATTATTTTAGAAGGAAATAACAGGACAAGAAGGAATAAAAGGGTAACAAAAGGGATAAATATGCAGATTTAAATGAATTGGACTCTGAAACAATTATCATTGGCTTTGTCAACTACATGCAGAATTCAAATGCATGACATCACTACCATATAAATCAAGATGATAAATGGAGTTAATGTCCTAGCTCCTCACCTTGTTCAGAAAGTGGTATGAGTACTAATTTAGATTATCCTTAAATAAGTGAAGTATGCATATTGCATTAATATTTAACATAGTAAATTTTAAGGCAAAATATATCATTAGAGATAAAAAGGGACATTTCATAATGGTTGTTTAAATTGATCAGAAAAGTATAACAATTCTAAATCTGAATGTATGTAAAAACAAACTCTATATAAATCCAAAATCATAGATCTAAAAGAGACAAACTCACAATTATTGTGGAAGATTTTTCACTATCTAATAGAATAAAAGTCTATAAAGATATAGAAGATTTGAAAATACAATTAAATAAAAGTAACTTATAAAGATTAAGAGGGGATAGGAATATTCTTCTAAATGTGCATCTATGTGTCTTCTAAGAAAACAAGCTTAAATGCAAGACAATTGTGTCCCATATATCATGTAATGACTATGTAGAGAATGTATTAACAAAACTGGAAGGTAATATATAATTCTAGGTCTCAAAACCCATTTTCTTAATTTCTCTTTTTCAAACAGAAATCAGTAAGAAAGTATAGGTTTCTGTGGATAAGACTGAGAATCTGAAATGCTGATCTCTAGATTAGTAGCCTGTGGCTAATTTCCATGAGCTCAGGGACAGTTCTAATGTGACAAGTAGTTTGTGGAGCTGCTGCTTACATCTCTGATCACTTGTGGAATACAGGCTGGGAGCACTTTATGCCTCTTGGATGTAAGTTTCCTGCTGCCATGGCAGGGAATTAATAAATAAGGGAACATGTTGGTTACCTAAAGATGCCTATAAATATTCAGGTAAGCCAATGTCAAGTCGAATTGTATATTTAAAATTTTCTTATCCAAATTTCACACATTAATAGATACTATAAACAATAAGTAATAGAAATTTCAAAAGAAGTCCTTTCTTTGTGTCTTTAACGTCAATTTTCACAAAAACTTATGGCTTTTCTTCATTATAGACTTATTAAATTGTCTATACTTTTGCCTTGATGTCAGTATCATTAGGGTGCAATGAAAAATTCTTCTTAGCACTCTACTTATTAAGAAATTCCTTTGGTATTTTTGTTACCCAGGGTATGAAAAACTCAACTGAATTTATAAAGCTGCTAATCCAAAATGTGAAACAAGAAAGACTGCAAAGATATAGCCTTGCATATTTACCATTATTTGCAGCTTGACAATCCCAGTATCTGTCAAATAACCTAGCACAACCATTATACATTACGTAAACACTTTCTCCAAAGTGTCTCCTCATAAGTGTAACTAAACATCAGCTATGTGATCTAGATATTCAGACTTCTGACTAGTAGAGGAAAGTTGGCTTTGGTTACCTCCTGCTTTTTAGTAAAGCTGTAGCATCTCACAATTTTGTGTCCCCACACCATGACTGTGGCACTGGACACTCTCCTTCCCCAGTATCAGATTTCTGATGTATACTTAGCTGTGGCTTCCAGTTTAAGGCTTTCCTAAATTCACTGCATTTATAGGGCTTCTGTTTAGTATGAATTTTTTGGTGTTTAATAAGATTTGATCTGATGGCGAAAGCCCTTCCACATTCAGCACATATATATGGTTTCTCTCCTGTGTGAATTCGCTGATGCTCATGGAGTTGTGACTTCTTAATGAAGGCCTTCTCACAGTCACTGCATTCATAGGGTTTCTCTCCAGTATGAATTCTCCGATGTCGATTTAAGTGGGACTTCTGGATGAAGGACTTCCCACATTCAGTACAAATATAGGGCTTCTCTCCTGTATGAATTCTCTGATGCATAGTTAGTGTTGATTTTCGTGCAAAGGCTTTCTCACATTCACTGCACTCATAATGTCTTTCTCCAGTGTGAGATTGTTGATGTATATGGAGGCCTGACTTCCTAGTGAAGGCTTTACCACAGTCACTACATTTATAGGGTTTCTCTCCAGTATGAATTTTCTGGTGTGTGAAGAGATTTGATCTGTCAGTGAATGCCTTTCCACATTCAGCACATCTGTAAGGTTTCTCTCCTGTGTGAATTTGCTGATGTACATGGAGCTGTGATTTCTTAGTAAAGGATTTCCCACAGTGACTGCATTCATAAGGTTTCTCCCCAGTATGAATTCTCTCATGTGTAATAAAATGTGACTTGTGGAAGAAGGCCTTCCCACATTCAGTGCAAACATAAGGTCTTTCTTCTCTATGAATTTTCTGGTGCACACTTAGTGTTGACTTCTGAATGAATGTTTTCCCACATTCACTGCACTCATAATGTCTCTCTCCAGTATGACATTTCTGATGTATACTGAGCCGTGACTTCCAGATAAATGATTTTCCACAGTCACCGCATTTATAGGGTTTCTCTCCAGTATGAATTTTTTGGTGCTTAATGAGATTTGACCTATCAGTAAAGGCCTTCCCACATTCAGTACAGATATAGGGTCTTTCTCCAGTATGAATTTTCTGGTGTATAATGAGATTTGTCTTGTGGGTAAAGACCTTCCCACATTCTGAACATATAAAGGGATTCTCTCCTGTGTGAATTCGCTGATGCACATGGAGTTGTGACTTCTTTATAAAGGACTTCCCACAGTCACTGCATTCATAAGGTTTCTCTCCAGTATGAATTCTCTCATGTGTAATAAAATGTGATTTCCGGATAAAGGCTTTCCCACATTCAGTACATACATATGGTTTTTCTCCTGTATGAATTTTCTGATGCATACCTAATGTTGATTTTCTTGTGAAGGCTTTTCCACATTCGGTACAATCAAAGTGTTTCTTTCCAGTATGACTTTTTTTATGCATACTGAGGTCTGAATTCTGAGAGATGTTTTTCCCACATTCACTGTATTCGTAAGGTTTTTCTCCACAATGAATTTCTTGGCATCTGAATACATCTGACTTCTGGATAAATGCTCTTACATATTCACTGCATGTATAATGATTCTCTTCAGTGTGAGTTTTCTCATGACTTGACTTGAGGGAAACATCCCTCCTGTATTTAGTGCATATATAGGGTTTCTTTCCTGTGTAAACCTTCTGAGGTACAGCAATCTTCTGAATGAAGATTGTCTCACATTTGCTGCATTCATACTGTTTCTCTTCAGTATAAATACTATCATGTACAAATAAGTGTGACATCTGTGTGAAAATGTTTATGCAATTAGAAAATAAATAGAGGTTCTCCCCAGTATCATTTTTTTTATGTTGAATGAGAGCTTGCTTATGACTCAGAAGTTTCTTACACTGATTACATTCACAAGCATTCATTTCTGTATGAGAATTTATATAAGTGAAAATGTTACCATATCCAATAATCTTATCTAATCTTTCTGTTGCATTGTTTCTCTTATAATTACATAAGCTTATAATAGGCTTCAAATTCTTTCCAAATGAGTCATAGTTATAGAGTCTTTTTCTTGAAGGAATAAGGTATGTGTTTACATGAACTATTTTCCCATTGCCCTTATAGTCATACTGCCTCACATTAGCGAGTATTTGCTTATTGATGAAGGCAATGTGAAATGAATGTTTTTTCTGGTTTTCTTCATATCTTCCTGTCTGCTCATAATCTTGCCACAATTCTAAAATGGAATATGGGTCATCCCTTGTGAAGAGATTAATTCTCTCAAACCGAATTGAAAGTTCTTCAGACATTCCCTGTTGTGAAGTTTCAAAACCAATATCCCCATCTGAAAAAGAAAAAATAAAACACACGAAGAACAGTTAACAGACCAAAGATATATACTATATGATAAATAATACCATTTATATGTGCCAGGCATTATTCTCAGTTCTATATCTATATTTAATCAGAATCATAATTACTTGCTGTTGGTATTATTACTGTGTTTTAAAGATGAGGAAACTGAGCCATAGAAATTTGCCCAATCAAATGTTTAGTAATTGGGGAAGATGAGATTCAAACTGAAGCACTTCAGTTCCATGTATGTAGCAGAACTACAAAACAAGATGACAGAAGAACAGGAGAAAAAAAGTGGCATAGATGATAGAAGCACTATTCATCCCTCTGGTGACTAAATCAAAGTTGTGATGGAAACAAGGAGCAAACAGCAAGAAAAACCGCCTGGGATCTACATGAATACGCCATACAAATAGGGAGAGAACTAAGAAATCACCCTGCAATGGCAGAAAGTAGGACGGGACAAGGATGGGAGGCTGCTCAGTCCTGAGTGATGAGTGGGACGGAGGCTGTAACAGCAGGAGCTGCAGACACTTCTTAAAGGGGCTGTGTCTGTGAGCGAACTTTTGTGGCAATGGACATGCTCACTCTGAGCACCAGTGCCAGTTCGGCAGCGCAGAGGTCACCAGGGATGTACAGGGAACAATGAATTGTCAGAGTGAGGGCCGGAGGTGAGGCTCTCTCCCAAGCAGAAGTGACAGCAGTATCCATTGTTCCTCTGTTGAGCTCTCCCCATTCCCAGTGTGTGGACCCAGCACTGCCATAGCAGAGACATCATCAAACTGGATAACAGGTCGCGCCGCCCAGAGGATTCCCTGAAACTCTGCTCCCCCAACTCACGCCCCCACCAAAGCCACATCCAGTTGTATCTTCGGCGAGTCAGGTGCTCCTTGCTGAGCAGAGCCAAGACTCACACTAGTGGCAGCTGGCCTCGGTTTCTGGTGTGATTTCTTGAGGCAATTAAAAGTACAGCATCTGTGGACTGCTTGCTGAATCTTAACAGGTAGCCCCAGAGGGGCACAGGCTGAGGCTAAACTTGGCCTGCAGCTGTGCCACTGGACAGCTACTTTCCAAATCCACACTAATAAGACTGGGAGACTTAGGAGCTTTGCTTAGTACATATAAACAGACACAGAAAGGCAGCCTAAATAGGAAGACAAAGAAGCAGAAACCATATGAAAGAACGGATCAGAGATACAGATATAATAGAGTTAAGTAATCTAACAGATGCGGAGTTCAAAATACTGGTGATAAAGATGCTCAAGGAACTTTTGGGAAGTGCAGATAAATTCAGTGAAAACTTCAACAAAGAGATAAAAAAAAAAACAAAAATGGAAATGGAAATTATAAAAGGGAACCAGTCAGAAATGAAGAACACATTATCTGAGATGAAGAGTATATTAGATGGAAAACACAGAGTGGATAAAGAAGAGAATCAAACCACCAATATAGAGGATGGGGAAGCCAAGGACACTCCATCAGAATGGCAAAAAAAAAAAAAAAAAAAGAAGCCTAGACTATCATGATAATTTAAGGGGCCTATGGAACAAAATAAAGGGTAAAAATGTCCATGTCATAGGGGAACCTAAAAGGAAATAGACATACAACTCCAGGAAGCTCAGAGAGTCCCAAGAAAGAGGAATCCAAAGAGACCCGCCCACACCAAGACACATCATAATTAAAATGCCAAGGGTTAAATACAAAGAGAGAATCTTAAAAGCAGCAAGAGAAAAGCAGTTAGTTACCTACAAGGGAGCACCCATAAGACTGGCAGCTGATTTCTCAAACTATTCAGAACAAAAGGGCTTAGCACAAAATATTAGACGTGATGAAAACCCAGGATCTACAACCAAGAATACTTTATCCAGCAAAACTATCATTTAGAGTCGAAGAATGGATAAAGAACTTCCCAGACAAAAATAAGCTAAAAGAATTTATCAACACCAAGCCAGTATTACAAGAAATGTTGGAGGGACTTCAAGAAGAAAAAACATGTATTAAAAACATGAGTAAAAAATAGTAATAACTACATTCCTATCAATAAGTACCTCAAATGGAAAAGAGTTAAGTGCTCCAACTGAAAGATAGAGTGGATGAGTGGATAAGAAAACAAGACCCCTACATATGCTGCTTACAAGAGACTCATTTCAGATTATAAGACACACACAGAATAAAGGAAGGGGATGGAGAAAGATATTGCCTTGATGGACCTAGAGAGTACTGCGCTGAATGAAATGGGAAGGATAAAGACAAATATCACATGAATTCTTGTACATGTGGAATCTAAAGAACAAACAACAATAAAGCAGTAATAAACTCATAGATGCAGAGAATATTTTGAGGGCTACTAGATGGAGGGGGTTAGGGAGGTGGGGAAAAAAGGCAAAGGTATTAAGAGGTACAAATGGATAGTTGCAGAATAGACATGGAGATGTACAGTGTAGCATGGGGAAGATGGTTAATAATGTAATAAATATGTAAGGGGAAGAGGGGTACTAGATTTAGTGGGGTGATCACTTTATGAGTTATGTGGATCTCCAATCACAATGCTATACAGCTGAAACTGGTAATATTATTGTATGCCAACTATAATTGAAAAAAACTCATTGAATTGTACAATGTAAATATGAACAACTAATTATATCTCAATATATAATATGTCTATTATATGTCAAAAAAGCCAGGGAAAAAAGTTTTTAAAAGAAAAAAAAGATGACAGAAGAACAATGTGACAAAACTAAGTGGCTTAAAAGAAGTATTTCTGAGTCTAGATTCTTAGTATCCTTCATCTGTAAATCCTCACTAATCTCTCTCTTTATCTTTTTCCCTATTAACCACTGTTCCCTAAATAGTTACCAAACTATTGTAACCTTTGTCATCATGACCTAGCTACACAATAAATAGATGTCTATGATTTAATTTTTTATGTCTGGTTTGGAATGCAGAGACACATGCATCTAACAGGCAGTATCTAATAGCAGAAACAAAAAGTTGTCCATAAAAATTTGTCCCTTTGCTTCAACAATATTATACTTGTAGCCAAGCATGTGGCTGTCTCAGAAAAACAGGTCTATCCAGCCTCATTTGTTATTAGATAAAGCCAAATAATTCAGTTCTCACCAATTAAATGTGAGTAAAAATTTTATTTGTTGTGACAAGGCCACTATCTTAAGTAACTGGGTGTGTCTCCCACAACCCTCTTCTTTCCCACTGGCTACATTCCAGACTGACAGTACTCAGTTCTATGCAGCTGCAATGCCCTAGGCAGAGGTCAGAAAACTACAACCTTCAGGCTAAATCCAGGCCTCTATTCAAAAACTAAGAATGGATTTATTTCTGAATGGTTGAAAAAATTAAAATAATACTTCATGACACATAAAAATTATATGAAATTCCAATTTCCATGTCAAAGTTTTTAATGAAACACAGTCACACCCATTCGTTGATGTACTTGTCTATAGATCCTTTGGGGCTACAACTGTAGAACTGAGTAGTTATGACAGCAATCCTAAGGCTCACAAAACCTAAAATATTTACTTCTGGGTATTTACAGAAAATGTTTGCTATATCCTGCTCTAGGGGATGGTAGTGCAATGACTTTCTAAAAACTTTGTTCCTGAATGGCCCTAGAAAGCAGAATTAGGGACTCTCAGTGACAAGAGTTTGGCTTTATTCCAGTATCTTTTTTTTGCCCAGATTAAGAATTACTAATATTCCAAACTCTGGTATAGATTCTCAGTAAATATTTATGCAAAAACTAGATTATACTATTATCTTATTCTACTAGAGTTTTTGAATATAGATATAGTCTAACCTCATACACATTTTATTGTTTCTAGGACCTTGTTATATCCCCAAACACATTATTTAACTGTTATATTACATTTTTACTCATACACATTGATAGCTTTTATTAATCCTGAGGACATCAAACACTGGATTCCTAAACATGAATTTTGATCTTTTGCAATCTTTCATTTTCTTTAGCTTACAAACCTATTGGTATTTCTAAATCATTTACATTACTACCAATAACATTCAATGTGAAAATGTTGCTCCTGTGTCAAAAAGTTGAATTATATATAATTCCTGTCACCACTGATTCAATTACTCATCCAATAAAATACAAAATCATAATTCAGGACAATGATATGTGTGCATGCAAGCTATCTTTCCACTGGTCTATTTTATTACTGAATGCAAACATATGTTCTTTTCCTTTTCCCTATTAAGTTTCCTTTTTCTATCCTCTGTTCCTATTCAAAATTCATTGTTCTTCACAGATCATTTAGAGTTCTATGCTCTAAAAACAAGTCTAAATCTCAGCATAGCACTAGGGAGGCTCTCTTTCCTTTCACATTTAAAGAAAAAAAAAAGACCAGATAATCTGAGCCACTCATACTTAATTGGCATAGATTGTACCATAACAAATGCTTAATACACAAAGCCTGAAATTTTAAGCATTTTGTGCAATTATCTTCCCTTTCCAATTACAATTATCAGCCCCTTGAACTGCTCCTAGCAGAAAAATTTTCAAATCCCTGTGAAAAAGAGCAAAATAATAATTTTCTCCATCCTATCACATAAATTCAAGAATTTAATTTTACTAAATATTCTCTACAGAAACATTGGGGGGGAAAGGGTAAAAGACTCAGTTATCATGTCACTTAATGTAGTTTTCTCTGAAATTATGTAGGTTGGAGAATAAGAAAAGGGAAAAAGCAATATATGCTGTAATAGTTAGGTTCAATTCAAGGAGTAACTGAAACCCGAGCACAAAGTGTAAGTATGTGTAGCATCTAAACAGGCAGATAGAGAAAATTATCAAAGGGTCAGATGCCAAAGGATCACTAAAGGGAATATTAAAAAAAAGTGAACAAGATTATGGAAACTAAACAGAGACAAATATAAAGTACAAATATGAGGTATGTTCTTTATTTAGCTTACAAACCCATTGAGAGAAAAATTTGTCACATGTTTAGATAATAA